TATATATATATAATAATATATATATATATATATATATATATATATATATATATATATATATATATATATATATATATATATACATATACATATGTATATATATATGGTCTATTTAGGAGTGATATTTGCTTATGCAATATTGGATGATGCACTAAAACCAGAAGATGTATGTGTTCTCGTGAAGGAAGTGCAGTTGCAACATCGAGCTCCAGTTATTGATTTCACCTGTGCAGCTATTGATGGGTCTCACCTTATAAAGGTACGGTGAAGAAATTCTCATGCATTAACAGCTGTTAGAATGTTTGTTGCATTTCCATATCTACTTTTTAAATTGCGAACACTTCAGGGTTTGACAGGTACAGAAAGATTGATCATTTATACCGAAGAGCAAATCAAAACATTCGCACTCCCGACAATGAAACCAACCAGATTCCGATATAAATTTACGGGTGTGGAAGGTTCACGAATTAGAAAGGCACAGCTTCTTACATTGCGATCAGCTACAAGTGCATCATTCAGTACTTCCATACTGATTATTTGCGAAAATCGCATTCCAACATTTATTTTCGTTTCTTGTACTTGCATTTATAGCCGCTATAGTGGAGTTTCACAATTCAAGTGATAGGTATTGTTTATTAGAGAAGTGATAGATATTGTTTATTAGGAAGAGTGGAGTCTCTTAATTCAAGTGATAGGTATTATTTTTTTATTAAGGTTTATTAGAGAATCTAAAACTTTTACTATTTTGTCCATCAACATGTCCACTGCAGTTCAGTATATGCTTCTACATTTTAAAGAGTGACATTTTTCATTTCCACTTCCCTGCACTGTTGAATAGTTCTTGCATCGAATAAAGCGTTGATCAGGGTTACAAAAAAGAATAAGTCGAATAAGGTCAACTGTGTTGTGACAAATAATTTAGTTATCAGAAGTCGTTATCCTTCATTTCGATGACATCTTTGGTTCTCATCTGTAGTTACCGCTTATTGTTTTCATCAAACTGCGTTTTAAGCTTTCGATCGCCTTCTACAGTTGCTTTCTTTCAGATCGGAAATTGTATGAAAAATTTATTGTTATCATCACGAATCAAGGCGAATTGTTTTTGTTTTCTGCGTTAACTGTTAAACAGTACCTGAAAATTCACTTCACAAAGGTATTTTTAAGTTCCCCTTCAGTGGCTTTGTTATCTCTACAAAGCGAGACGAATTGTTTTCGTTTTATATATTAGTTGTTATTCAATCAATCAAGTAGTTAAAATTCGTATTAAAAGCTGGTTCATAAGCCTCAGTTACATTTCATATACCGTGATCCACTTTTCAGGTCCTCGAATACGTGTTTGTTATTCACAGTGGGTTCAGAGCACACAACAAATGAGTCATGACATTAAAAAAGTAGAATTTGTAGGATGAAATAAGTAAAATTCATATTTCACACTAGAAAAACTCGGAAGATTGTTTGTCTAGTGCAGTAGTAAATTTGCAGGCTTCTGACGTTGAGGGGATCGCTTCAGCTGTTTTGTCGGAAAACGGTGAAATATTTTTTCTACGTCCAGGAGGTAGTGAATTTCAGCGCGCTTCTGTTGCAGCTATGCAGCATAATAATTTGATATCGCCTCTCAAGGACAGCGATTTCCCCAAAATTTAATTATTATACTCTTTGAAATTTTCGAAATTGTTCCGTTGTGTTTATCATCTTTTACCGTTCAGAATTGAAGTGTTCTTAGAGTACCTATGCATTTCTTGTTTTGTTAGCTATGAGCATTTTTACAGTACAAAAACTTAAAGTTAGCTTAGGAACCTCGAAGTTAAGAGATGACTGGGAAAATCCTGGGACCTAGATTTATTAAACTTATTCTAATATCTTATTTCATTTCTTTCCCGCAGGTTGTTTGTCCTTTACAGTAGTATTATCTTAACTTCTGTATCATTATGTTTCCTTGGTATGATTACCTGCCGTCCAGTTACTAGATGGAGAAGCAACAAAATATACACGCTTATTTTAATATATTTGTTGGTTCGATATGGTTGTAATTCGCTGTGGTTGTAATTTAGAAATGTTACTTGTAATTTCTCACGTAAGTCCTTGATTGCATCGTTTTTTTTTTCAATGATGGGTAAAAAGTTTCAGATTCATATCTGTCTTTTTCGAAAGAATATAGGATTACTACTTCTTTTCTTCAAATAATCGTACCTCGTGCTTGACATGATGTATTATATGGATTGCACGACTTTTCAGAATTAATCACTGATTATGTCAATTGTGTTTTCGATGGCTTTTGATTTATACTATTTTTCATAATTCACGTTGTTCTGTTTGTTTAAAAGACAAGGGAGTTGTGTTCGCTGCTTAATTGGTTAAGTGTATTTCATTCAGAAACTAGCTGGGTTTCTAACAGATCTTTTGTCTAATAAGTCTGATTTCGCTGCACTCAACGTGCAAATCAGAAAAATTCTTATCTGTTTGATAAGGTTGTAGTTATTGATCTAGAGCAATCACTTATTTTATACAACACCAGGTATCGAAAAAAAAAAAAAGAAACTAACGGAAGATTCTTTCAGACAGATGTAACGCAAAGGGGAAGAGTGGGGGGATCTTATTTTAGGTTGACTCTAATCATTATTTTTAATCTAGTTTAGTCCATAGAGTTTTATGTACATGAATAGTTACAAGACGAAGGTTGTGAAATAGCAAATGATGAATGAAAACATAACTGGTAAGATCATCTGGGCAGATATGATACCATTACAAAAATCATTGAAGCAATGACAGGTAACGATTCGGTAACCAAATAACGAGAATTGTTGACATATATCAGGACCTGGCATGGGTAACACGACGCATCCTCGGTACGTGCCTATCACTCGATCTTCTTGGTTCTTGTGGTTGCCAACTGTAGTCATTAATATTTATCTAAGTAGCTTTTTGTACCAAATGGAACGTAAAAATTTGTGAAGTATTGGTTAAAGAGCTAACATTTATCAATGCCACCGGAATAAATTGTCGTTTTCAAGCAGCCAAAAAGTCCATAGGTGCAAGGGACGCTTGCTCTTAGGCAGTCGTCAATAACGCCGGATGAGCATTCATAGCATGTTATACCATGTACGTAACTAGAATACAGCAATGCGATTTGCGCGATCATACAGCTATTCATCTATAACATAAATCAGCGATGTTAGGCCTTTTCCGTTAATGAGAGCAGGAAGATGAATACGAGAATCGAAAGCAGGATTTTCTCAATATTGATCTTATTAATTGATGTTTCAAACTGTGAAGAGCATGAAAGCTTGAAGCAACGTAGTTCGCACCGGCTTCCAAGTAGTTGTCTCAAGTGTGCTGAAAATGAAAGAATAAAAACATCGTTTGTGCCTTTTTTAAAAGATATATGATCTCTGGGGAAGGTTCAACAGATTCTGTAAGATATCTAAGTAACATATTATACTCAATGTATTATTTAAATTTTTAACTCGTAGGATGTAAGCATGGGAAATGAATGTAATTTATCTTTGCAGTAAGTACAAGACTAAAACTTAACTATGAGTAATAAGAGCATTTTTTGTTACATGTCAAATATAGGGGAACGAAAGTAAAGTTTGAATGATAGCAATACATACTAAAACTTGAAATGAAAGCTGAGATGGCTAACAGTGAAGCATCAAATCATTCCAGTAGTAAGGGTCAGTGGTCAACACTTGCTGTTGCACAAACTGATAAATATTGTCACATAGTAATGTTTGTTCAGTGTTTGTCCAATGCTTCAGTTCGCGTAAACAATTTTCTAATCACAAACCTTGCATTGCTCCTTTTAAATTTAATTTATATGATAGCCGTTTCGTACAAATGTTATAATCCTGGAAATGCGCTGAACAGTTGCATTTCATGCATATGAATGATGCTTCTCGAATTTTTACTGTTTCTCGAGGTTTTTAAACCCTTCAAACATTAACATAGACTCCAAGTTTTTTTAGTAATATCCAAAAATTGTCCATAACAGCATTTATAAACAAAAAGGACAAAGAATGAATCCTGAACGTAACAAAGCAGGAGCGTTCAGTTTTCTTTTTTTTTTTTGGTTGGTACATCTCCTTATAGAAATTATTGTTTCGCACGGTATGATGCATCAAATATTGTTCAGTGACCGTCGAATAAACTTCTTCACCCCTTTCGTCTTCGAGGCGGTGATTTCAGCTAGTTCCGTTTTGAAGCAGAGAAGCGAAAAGAAATGGAAAACTTTTGTGTCTGTTGTTACTTTCTACCTTCCATAACGCTATTCAAATATAGATATATCACGAATAGGACTAATCTCAATCCATATTGTTTGGCTGGACGCACTAATAATTGTTGGCAAAGATGCATAACGGCAATAAACTTAATTATTGAAGTGGCCTGTTCTACTTTGCCAATAACTGTTGTCAAATTTGATGAAGACTCACAATGTACACTTTCTTGTTAAATGTGTTAAGCTTAAAATTTTGTTTCCTTAATCTTTCTTTTGTAATTCAATTTGTTGTGTCTACACATTAAATAACTTGAAAAAAGCGGAAATACATCATTTTGACTTGATAGAGTAATATTTGCAGAATAACTCTGTTAATCCAAAAACGGTGAAGCGAAAAAAGTGAAATGAGAAAGTGATCTGAATTTGCTGTTGCACAATAAATGCTTACAAGTTCGATAAGTTTTCATAAGATTCCATAAGTTCGATTTTCATTTTGAAAATTTTATCCCATTAAGGAAATGAATTTTGGCCGTTGATTGGAACACTACTCTTTTTGTGGGTTTATCGAGAATTCAGTGCGAATAATATAATTCGACATAGCTTGACGATGAAATAAGGGCTATAGTCAGTGGCTCAAAAGTTATGTGTAGATCTGTATATGCGAGTATCTTCCCATATTTACTCGTACCTGCACGTTCTCAACTCAGTTCATTCATTGGTAGCCATTTAGATATGCTTAGACTGATGGAAGAAGACCTTGAGATTGGGTGCATCAGTGTCTAAAGAAGGCTTGCCCAAAGTAGAAGTTCTCCAACAGCAATAGCAACGACCGTACAAAGATGTAAGTTCAATTAAAGCGACAAAGAGGTGGCAACATATCGGCCGTCTGTTCCACTTGCCTCATTTACTCTTACCCTTGCCCTTTCCATCTCAAGATATGACATTTGTCAATGGAACAGGGGAAAGGGACAACTCGACCATCTAACTGCTTTCCATCCTTCCAATCTTTCTTACACTTCCTGTGTTTTGCCGAAGCTACTACAATGCAATAAAAGCACTGCTATTGAAGCTATTACAATAAAAGCACCTGCATAATGCATGCAAACATTCTCGCAATAGTTTGTGTCAAGAAGTGAGCTGAGAGCTGTAGTTTCGAAGGTCGCGTTTACGAGCAGTAAATGCAGTAGTGCGCTACTGACATAAATATAATGTCAACAGTTCGCTGCATTGATCTTGACTGCTATTGTTTGTTAGCATCTTAAAATGGGTACACTTCTTTCTTTGCACATGGCCTCTTGTCAAGGATGTTTGGTTGACGATGCACACGATACACACTTCTCTACCCGATGACTTTTCCTGCACCTTTTCACAAGCAATTAAGCAAAGGTTCAAAATTAATCATCATTTGAAGTGTGTAAAAATGCAAAAAAAGCCTGAAAATCATGCAACACCAATAATTGATGAGCATAAGAAATCATTATTTCAACAGTAAATGTAAAACTGATAAGACAACACATACGTGATAATTTTTGCGGTCTAGCTCCTTCAGAAGAAAAAGCCTAAAACAGGAGATGTCCTATTAAAATTCGTCATAAAAGGCCCAGAATATGAAAAGTATGTAAAAATAAGGAAATAAAGGACTTCGTAAAGAAAAAAGTGACGAAGTAAAGAAAATACAAAGGACATTAAAAAGTTTGAGTCCATTCATTATTTCGTTTCTTCCTATGCGAAAATCTTGACATTTTTCCCTTGATCTGGATTTGGTGACACTTTTTTAAGGTAGCAACTCCGAGGAAGTTTTGTTTGACTGCAGCATTTATAAGAAAAATGTGTATGGCATCATCTTTTATAGTTTCAAACATTTTCATGTAGTCTTCCATACAGATATTAGTCATGGTTTGTTTCTTTTTTCTTGTATTGAAATTGATTCTAAGGTCACATCTCATCGTAAAAAACCACTTTAAAGCAAAATTAGTTTATTTGTTCACATTTAGTAGCTGGAATTTCAGACCTGTATCTCTTGTCGTTCCAGGTTTCATCCTAAGTTCAAATAGCAGAATATATCCGGTTTTGATCATACAACTTCTTAAATATTGGTGATAGTTATTAACCTACTCGAATGGTAATAATCACTTGTTTCGATGTACAGAAATCAAAAGTAAAACAGAGGAATTAAAAGGTTATGTAACTTGAAATATTTAACTTAAATTTGAGGTTACAGAAGTTGTTATTATTAGGAAGTGTATTATTGCTAGGGATTGCAGCTTCATAACTGGTAAATTATTAAAAGCGTTTTAACCAGAAATCGAGGTTAAATTTTTTAGCCAATAATCTTTTAGAAATAGACAAAAACCTCCAAGTTCAAATATTATAAATAAGGCTTTATTCATCATGTTTTTTTTCGTGGAATCGCGCCATCATTCAAACCAACTTTTATTTGAATTTTTATTTATTTTTCATTTGTTATTTTTTATTTCAGTTATGCATACATGTCGTGATGTCCATTTATCAACGATAGATCTCAAATAAGAATTATGATAAGATACAATGGTTGATCGATGTGATTTCAGTAAGATCTTTTGTGGTTATACTCTCTGCTGTGACATACAGTAATATTTCCTCATCCTCTCTCCTACCTTATCACTAAGTGAATAAAAAGGTTTCATGCCATCTTCCCAGGAAAAATCCCGATATGTCAGTGAATACAAAATGTTCTGTCTCATCGAGCAAATTTGCATAAGGCATTTTTAGCAGAAATTTGAATGGATAGTATCAGGTACAGCAATGGAAGAACAGAGAGGGTTGTAATGAGAATGTGTGCGATTAAAATGCATCTCATTTCAATTCATTTTAATTCGGAGGTCAGTTTGGAAAATAACAGTGTTGCTGGTTGCTTGCCCTGGTTCCGAACTCCAACTAACCAACTAATCCATGAAACTCTCGGTTTCCTTTCTTCTCCTGTCCATCCTGTTCCATTCAGAGATGATCACCGCTGGTCACAAGATGCATGCTCATTCATGATGATACATAGAGACGCCCATACATATGCGACATCTAAGAGATCTTTTGGTCAGATCTCAGTAATGGCAGCAATACTTGACGTGTTGGTAGCACGACATAGTACCGATGGAATTGAATGTATTTTTATGTATTGTTACCAACAGGAGCGATGGCTGTGGAATCCAGCAAAATAATGTACAGCAATGGGACCTTCGTCCGCTGCTCATCTTACTTCGTAGAAAACAAATTAGGTTGCCATGCTGTTGCGGGTGCTGTCAACCAGACTCCTTCCGAGAAGCGCCGCATATCTGCTTTTTTTGCGTGTACCACCAGACCAATTTATTTGAGATAGCGCTGCCTACCTAGCCATCTTATCACATTATTTTGAATTTCAAACGAAGCATTATTTAGGTAACACTAACTGATGAAACACGAAATTGTTGATCTTCGACCAGCAGCGGTAAGATAGAGAAAGTTTCAAGATGCTTTCAGTCTATAGCAAAGAGATTGTACATCACTGGCCCGAACATTTTCTCAAAATTTTGTTTTGATCCTCGAACTGGTTCATTTTCTCTTGAAGTCCTGTTGCAAGCAAAAATCAAATTTAACTGAAGTACAAAGGTATTTTGTTGTTTCGAAATTTACAAATCGAAATGAATTCAATGGACTAATTGTTTGGTTCGGGAAAGTGTGGCAGAACCAATAATCGGAACCGTCATTGGATGCAATGGTCTTCAAAAGCAGATTTTGGATGAACAAATTTCGTCGAACCATTTGTTCACAGTTCCGCGAAATAATTATTCCTAAATTTGATTAATAATCTTAAACTAATATTTCAAGCGAAAATATGCAGAAGAAAATTAATAATTTTATCGCAAGGATTTGCCAAGAAAGCGAAATAAATGTTTGCATCGAAAAAATAATGTGTACAGAATAACCGATCAATCGCGTTAGAAGTTACTATGTGAACCCTAGATCTTGTTATTTAAATAGAAATCTTATTCAAAATCGTGCAAAACTGCCAAGAGTTACAAGACGGAATTTGAAAGAGAAAGTAAAATTAATTGCAAACACTCACTTAACGATACAAAATCAAAGCTTACTGTCGCTAAATTTATCTTTAAGTATAAATTATTTTAATCAAGAGTTTAAACTGTATAGAGTTAAGAAATAATAAGAGAGACAAAATGTCTGAATTGTGATAATTTATTTGCCTATGCCAAATGAAGATCTGCTTACGCTGAAGCATAAAATGTATTTGGAAACATCAACAGCTATAGTGTAGCCCCAGTCTTTGTACAGAATGAAAATTTGTCTGTTTAATCAGCTGATAACTAGTAGATACGATTCAGACGGCTTGCAACATTCTTCTAGAAGTAACATCAAAGCCACAGAAAATAGTTATCACATATATTGGTGATTTCTCACGCAAAATTATTTTTTAATAATTTAATTAAAGGCTTGATTTATAAATATGACTTTTCCCAGGAAGGAGGACACATTATGTTTCAGGGTTTTGCTAATATTTGGTGATGCTTATCAGTGAAGTTGTTATTTTGCAGTGCTGTTATGAGCTGCGCAGTAAGTTTATATAGGTATAGTGGCCTCGGTGACGGTTGTCACTCCAGTAGAAGATTTAATGAATGGAAGAGAGATACTGGCTGTCGTGGATAGAAGGATCGGTTGATGCCCGGAGCGATAGTATTTAGGAGGAGGATTCAGTTCACAGAGTGGATCACGGCGTACATACACACATACATTTTAAAGAAATTTTCGGGTGTTATTGCTGCTACTACTACTATTGCTGCTGTTGCCGTTCTTTGTAAACTGACGAGTAAGAAGAGGTAGGGAAGGGAAGAAGGGTAGCGCAAATATTTTAGTGGCTGTTTAAGGTCAGCTTGTAGGTCGTCGACATTTGCTGTAATGCTCCAAGCAGAGAGTCACCCAGCATTTCACCGTAGCTGCAGACCCTTACTCTGCCCCTTCGATTTCTAATGGAACCTGACAATCCTGATAATTCCTATTGTTGTGGTCCTTACTACTGTTTCTTGTCTTGGAATATTTCAATGTCACAAGGCTTCTCATACTTTCCGCATGATAATGTCGTTATAATTCCAACACTGCTCCAATCTCCACCAGGTAGCTCAGTTCAGTTATTGCTATGACGTATGCACTAAGGAAGTTGTATATTGACTGATGTGGTGGAATGGGGAGGTGTGCCTTTTCCCTAGCACCGGTTGTCATCAGACTGCTGATGCTGCGCGCCTCGACATGGTCACTGACCTGCTGTTACTTAATATTCCTTCGCCTTTTCCTCCACATTTCTAACCATATCTAAACATCATCGCTAGTAACAGCTTATATTTCAATGCTATCAGCTCGAATCTTCCCTATAAGCTGCCTTGTGCCACAACATCGCCCCTACCGTACTCCTCTTATCTAATGGCTGCTTCGTCCTATGGTAGTTTCCTTTCAATATACAACTATACTAGCACAGATTTTGATTAAATAGTCATACATTGATTTGAAATTTAGCTGTTTTCAAATTTTAAGTAATGTGTTGGTGACAGTATGTCAATCTTGGTTCGGACTTCTTGGACATTCATATGAGCAGATTTTCTAAAAATGTCTATTGATTGTACAACAACAGCTAAATGTACTGCGCTCCAAGAATACATTGTGGTACTTAATGCAGTAAATATGCATTCTTGAATGACCTTCAGTTACAGTGTTATCGTAATATCGCTGTGATGCTGTTGTAGTCTTTGCTATTGCTGCTTCTATTGCTGCTCAAAATCTTTCACATTTCTACGCCCTAATACTTCCCGATTTTTCGATCTCATCATATGACCTTGTTCGTATTGTCACTATGCTGCACGTTACCTCTTAGAACGTCTCGTATTTATAACAGGTTATGACAGCTGCAAAACTTCAAATGCCATTGATTATATAGCAGCAGCTAAATATTTGATTTTTTAATTTATGACTTGAAGTCATTTATTTTTCATCGTCATTTTTTAGACCACAAGTCCTTTTGTATACTGAAAATTTTTTAAATTCAAGATAGTTGGCGTTTGCAAATGTTAATACTTTTTTAATTAAGCAAGTTTTCAAAATAGGTATTCTCAGAACAGCTTTTATATTTATCAATAGTTCCTTCCTGCTTTAATGCAAGTTAGCGGACTCAAAGAAGAAATAATAAGTTTAATCAGCAGGAAATAGTGAGAGTTGTATAACAAAAAATGGCATCATTTCATTTCTTCCAGAAATTTTCACATTTTATAAATTCTTCACATTTTCAGCTTTATATGTGAATTGCTTAATTTTTTTTTTTGCCATTTTCCTGATTTTTATTTTTTGACCTAAATTTGATACATTTCTCATGAATCGTTTTCACTAAAAGAAAAATTTTTAAATGTTTAGTTTAAAATTAAATTTTATGCGC